GGGGGGGGGGGGAACATGAATCGCGATCCCGGTAACCCTCACATGTATTTTTGAAAAATGCCCCGCCGCGGCGCGCCCGCGCGCGCAAGGTTGAGCCGCCCTCCAAGGGCCCCCGGGCTCATCACGTTTTTGTGCTTTGCCCTCCCTCGCCCGAGGGCGCGGCGGAGCCGCCACGGCGGTGGACCCGGCCGGCCCCCACGCGCGCGCACCAGGAGCCCCCAGGGCAAGCGGGCGCCCAGGACAAATCCCCCCACTCGGGCCTGAGCAAGAGCGCCGCGGCAGCCCGTCCACCAGCGCTCCCTCCTCTGGGTGCTTCTCGGCCCGGGCCGCTGTTTTGGGCGCACCGGCCCGCGCCGCCGCCGGCTCCGACGGATCGCCGGGCAGGGGCGCGGCCCCCCCCCCCCCCCCGACAGTCCTGCGGACGGCGACCGTGGCCGGGGGGGGGCGGGGGGGGACCGAACTCCTGCCAGGACCGCCACCTGCCGACGCGGGAGCCGCAATCCCACCCGGGCAGGCCCGATGCCCAGTCTTCCGGTCCTTTCCTGTTACGCGGGTTTCTGACCCAGAACGGCCGGGGGGGGGGGGGGGGGCGGGGGCGGCGTGCGGCGCCCCCTCCGGGATGCGCCCGGCCCAGCCTGCCGCACATTCCCGCACAAGCACGCGCATGCACACTTGGCGGCGCTGCCCCCACTCCCGGCCCCCCCCCCCTCCCTTCCATCCCGGGGGAGGGGCCCCTCCGGCCGCCCGGGCATCGATCCCTCGCGCCTTGATGCGACCCCAGACCGCCCGGCCGGCCTCCTCCCGAACGGCTGCCGAATGGCAGCCTATCGGCCAGCCCGCCGAGCCTGGGACCCCAGTTCCCGACACAAGCAGCACATCCACCCCCCCCCCCCCCCCCCCCCCCCCCACCCCCCCCCCCCCCCCCCTGGGACCCCCCCCCCCCACACACCCCCCCCCCCCCCCCCCCCCCCCCACACACACACCCCCCCCCCCCCTGAGCCCCCCCCCCTCCCCCCGCCGTCGCCCTCGCCGTCGCCCCCGCCAGCGTCCGGCCCGCCGCCCCTCGCGCGCCCGCCAGCCTGGCAAAAACCCTCCCTCGCCCTTCCCACCATCCGCCACGAGCTCTCTGCGGCTCCCTAGACCTCCCCGCGCGGTCTAGGAGCCCGCACGATCTCAGCCCGAACACCACTTCCTCTCCCCCGCCCCCTCCCCCTCTCGCTCTTTCTCTCTCTCTCTCCCCCCTCCTCCGCGTCGACATGTCACAGCTGGCCTCACAGCTTGGGCGCAACCTCGCCAAGCAGGCCCTCACCCCGGGGCATGGTATGTCCCCCCCTCACTGCCGCATGCCTCCCGCCCGGCATTCGGTCCTCCCCCTGCCCCCTCCCCCTGCCCCCCGCTGACATTGCCATTCGCAGCCTCCATCGGCACGCAGTCGCTGACGGTGCCCATGCGCACCGGGCCCACCTCCCCGTCGGCCAGCTGGCTGCCGGCCGTTCGCCAGCCGGCCAGCTCCACAAGCATCACCGTGGTCCCCGGGCCCGGGCCCGGGGTCGGCGGGTCCAACCCGCTGGGTCTGGCCCCGGGCGTGGCCAAGGTCCCCCCGATCGCCGGGGTGCCGCCCGCCTCGCCACACGCCTCCTCCGTCTACTCCATGTACTTCGAGCAGGCCGGCTGCTTCTACTCCGGGGCCGGGGCCGGGGCCGGGGCCGCGGCCAGTAGCGGCTCCGCGGCCGCTGGGTCCGGCTCCGGCGCCGCCTTCGCCCACATCGGCGGCAACCTGTCCGTGGTGCACTCCTTCCAGGCGGCCGCGGTGACCGGCGCCTTCCAGCACATGGTCACGTCTCCCGGCCTGGCCGGCGGCCTCCCCCGGCCGCTGGACCTGCACTCCGGCCTCTCGCGCCTGGCCAGCGGCTATCACTCTTGCTCGCTGGCCGCGCTGACCGGCGGCGGGCAGCCGGCAGCCGCATCGCCGGGCCCCGAGCCGGCTCGCCGGCGCCCGGCCCGGCCACTTCGGCGCGTCCCCCCGCCGGCACGGTCTCCCCCTCCGACGCCGCGACTGGCCACTCGTCCCACCGCCTCGGTGCCCGTATCCATCGCGGCGGCGGCGGCGGCGGCGGCGGCCACCACCACCACCACCACCACCGCCGCCATCGCCGGGGCCACCGCATCCACCGGCTCGAGCTCCTCAGTGGCCGCGCTGGCGGTCGCCGTCGCCCAGCCTCGACTCCCGGTATCGGTGGCCGCCGTCACCACTGCCAGCACCCCGTCGGCCCAGCAGCAACCGGCCCTGGCGAAGGCTGCCCCCGCCAAGAGTCCCCGGGTTGCGGTCGATCCGGCCTCCACCGCGGCGGCGGCCCAGCCCCCGGTCCCGGCTGCGGCTGTGACCCCGGCCAAGACCGCGGCCCCGGTGGCGGTGGCCCCCCCTGCCGGGAAGATGGCGGCCGAGATCCCGGCCCCGCTGGCCGCCGCCGTGGCCGCCACCGCCAGGGTCCCCGCCTCGGCCGGGCCCTCGGCGGCCGAGCGCGCCGTGACGGCCGTGCGCGAAGCCGCCGAGCGCGCCGCCCTCGAGGCCTCCTCCGCGCACAGCCCCCTCATCCGGGCCCTGGCCGAGCTGAACCAACAGCAGGCCGCCACCGCGGCCCCTCCGGCCTCCAGTGACAAGGCCGCCCGCATGGCCCCCCCCTCGGGCCATGGCAGCGGCTTCGCCTCGACGGCCGGGTCCTTTGTCCCGACGCAGTCGCCCTCGGCGCCGGTGCTCTTCCATGCGCACCCGCCCGCGGCAGGCCACGCTCCCCCCCCCGGCCAGGGGGCCTCCCCGGGGCAGCCTCCCCCCCATGGGCGGCTCTCCCGCGCGTCGCTGGTGTCGCCCGCGGCCGCGCTCCTGCTGTACGGCCTGTATGACAATGACTCCGGGGCCAGTTCCAGCTCCCTCCCGACGGACCACCACTCGATCGACGATGAGGATGACGACCACTTCCTGGCCAGCACCCTGGGGCTCGGCACCGGGAGCCCCCTCCGGTCGCCGCCCCCCTCGCACACCTTCCCCACGTCGCACTTCCACGAGGGGATCCTCTCGGCCACCGGCGGCTACCCGACCCCGGAGCCGCAGCCGCCCACCCCCTCGGCCGTGATGCTGCTGTCCCCCTCGCCCTCGGACCACATGTCGCAGTCGTCCAGCTCCGAGTCCCTGTCGCTGGACCTCGGCCACTCGACAAGCCGAATCCACTTTGTGTCCGGGCACCGGCAGGTGGGCCAATCGGCCAAGGGCTTCGGGCCCCTGTGCGGCGGCGGCGGCGGCGGCGGCGGCGGCGGCGGCGGCGGCGGCGGCAATGGCGCCGGTCGAGTGGACGATTTGTCCACCCTCCCGGCGGCGGCCTTCTTCCTGGGCGGCGACATTGACTCGCCCCCCCCGTCCTCCTTCTCCTCTTCCTCCTCCTCCTCGTCGTCGGCCATATCCAACGCCTCGTCGGACAGCTCGTCGGACTTGTCCGACTCCGACACCTTCCTGGGGTCGGGGTTCATCGGGTCGCCCATGGGCGGCCCCGGGCCCGGGCCCGGCTCCCTGACCGCCGCCCATGGGGCCGGGCCTTCCTGGTCCTTCCCGGCCACGACCATTCCCTATGACCACCCGGGGTTCAGCCCGTTGTCCGGGTTCGCGCATGCGGGGGGCCCCTTCTCGGCGGGGACCGCCGGCCCGGGGGCCGCCCTCGGCGGCGGCGGCGGCGGCGGCGGGATGGCCCCTCGGCCGAGTGTCCATTTTGAGGGGGCCCCCCGGCCGCCGGCTTCGGTGGCTGCTCCCTCGACCGGCCCCTTCACGGATGGGCCGCTCTCCTTCCACCAGCTCCTGATGCATGGCCCGCCCGCGGTGCCGACTTCCCGCTACCACCATCATCACCACCAGCACCAGCACCAGCACCAGCACCAGCAGCAGCAGCAGCAGCAACAGCCCCCCCCTCACCACCACCACCACCACCACCATCCTCATCAGCGCGCCGCCGGCGCCGGCCCGGTCGACACCTACGCGGCCGGCTATGTGCCCTACTCGTCGGTGTCTCTGAGTGGCCTGAGCCCCGGGGTGTCGGTGGCCAGCTCGCCGCAATTCCCCCACCCCCACCAGCACCTTGGTGGAGGGGGGAGTGCCACCCAGCCGGCCGGTGGTCCGGCCCCGGCCCAGCCGATGGCCGTGCCCCCGTCCGCGGCCAAGCCCTTCGCCCATGCGGCCGGGCTCGGTGCCAGCATCATCGCCGAGGGGGCCTACCTGGCGGCCAATGCCCCGCCGGCCGCTTCGTCCCCGCCAGGGGCGGCGGCCTCCCATCCGCAGCACCCCTTCGCCCCCCCGGGGTCGCTGCTTCGGCCCGGGCCCGGTGGCCCCGCTGGCTTTTCGCCGCCCCCCTCTCCCCCGTCGGCGGAGTTGGCCTTCTCGTCGTTGGCCGGGTCGCCCATGTCGTCGTCGGCCGGCAGCGGCGGCACCGCCAACGCCCCCCCCACCACCGGCGGCGGAGGGCATGCGCCCCAGGCCCCCCCGCCCAGCGCCTACCACCAGTCCGGCCATCCCCACTACCAGTACCAGCAGTACCACCAGTACCATGCCGCCCTGGACCTGGCCGGGGCGCCCCCCTCGGCGGGGGTCTCCCTGACCGGGACCTCGCCCAGCGCCGGGCCGTCATGGGCCACGGCCGCGGCCGCGGCCGCCACCGGCCCCGGGGCCGGCATGCCGTTGCCCATTCCCCCGGGCAACCGGTCCAGTCGCTCGCACTCGGTTGGCTCCTCGGCCCAGGCCCTCGGCGGGAATGTCGGCGGGGGGGCCTCCACCCCCTTGGTCCTGCCTGGCAGCCTGGACTCCTGCCTGATGGGGTCCACCTCGATGGAGGCCCTCCCATCGAGTGGCATCCTTCCTTCGGGCACGGTGGCCGCCGGGCCGCCGGGCCGCGCGCGGTCCCCCGACTCCGAGGGGGACCTGCCCTCGGCAATGTCCGAGGGGCTGGTGGCTGGCGGGCGACCGAGCCGCTCCGGGCCCGGGCCCGGGCCCGGGTCCCGGTCGGCCACCCTCCCACCGCAGTCCCAGGGGTCCTCCCGTCGTCGAGGCAGCCCGCCCTCGAGCGGTGATGCTGCCTCCGGTGGTGGCGGGGGGGGGCGCACGTCCCCGACCGGCGGTCGCAATGGGGGTGCTGCCTTCCTCATGGCGGCGGGTCCGGTGGACCCGGCCCCCGGGTCGCCCGGCCGCGGCAAGCCCGGTCGGTCTGGTCGTGGCATGGCTGCCTCGGCCGCCATGGGCCCCGGGACCGATGCCGGCACTTTGGGCAAGGGCAGCACGCCCGGGCTGCCACTCGGCCCCGGGCCGGGGCTTGCCCCCTCGGACCCTGTCGCGATTGTGGTGCAGCCCTCCGCGCGTGGGTCTGGCGTCGGTGGGTCCGCCGGCGGACGGGGCCGCCGCGGTGGCCACCACCACCACCACTCCGGGGATCACATCTCGGTGGTGACGGTGGCGGCGTCGCCGGCAGCACTGGCGGCGGCGGCCGCGGCGGCGGCGGCGGCCGCTTCCGAGACCGGCCCCGGCCCTCGTCCCGCCGGCCTGGCGGCTTCCGCGGCCACGGCGCCCGGCCTTCCGCAGCGTCGGGGCCAGCAGGGCGCCGGTCGCTCCGGCTCGCCCGGCGCCACCTCGGCAGCCACCTCCCCCCGAGTGCATCATGACGCCCTGGAGGCCGATGTGCCTGTTTCTGGCGCCCCGGCCGTCGGCGCCGCTGCTGCCTCCTCGGCGGGGTCCCCCGCTTGTTCTTCCTCTTCGCCCCCCTCCTCTTCCGGCAGCGGCAGCAGCAGCAGCAGCAACAGCGCCGGCAGCAGCAGCAGCGAGGCGTGCTCCTGCACGGACCCGGCTCTGCGGCAGTTGCTGGTGGACCTGCACCGGCCGCTGCCGATCACGGTCCCCTGTCTGAGTCCGGCCGCAGTGGCCCTCCTGCTGGAGAATGACCAGTCGGCGCATGTGCCGGACGACGTGCCGGCCCCCCTGGCGGCGGCGGTCAAGTCCGCCGCCCTGGAGGCCCACACCGCGGCCCAGGTGTTCTCGGACACCCCGCTGCCGCACCACCTCCCCCCGGCGGGGGACCATGCCTCGGAGCAGGCCGGCAGCCATGCGGCCACGGCCGGCCACCCCGCGCCGCCCCGTGTGCAGGACAACTCCTCGGCCGCCCTGGCGCAGGACAAGTTTGTCCTGCTGGTGGCCAACTTCGTCCGGTTCTATCACGACCTGCACACCAAGGCCCAAACCCTGCCGCGGCCGGTGTTCGCCCGGTCGGCCGGCGAGTCGCACGGCGATGGCACCTCCGCCGGCCGTGCCTGCACCACCCCCTGCAGCCCGTTCGCCCCGCTGATCGAGGTCGGTGCCTACATGAACCGCCTGTCCGGCTGGGCGAAGTTCATTCGCCACGGGCGCGGCGGCCTGGCGGCCAAGATCCAGGTGCGTGTTCCCGGCCCCCCCCCC